TATTGTTTGCACTGAAGCACCGCAGCAATTTCCTAATGTTGTAAACCTCAACATCTGGCAATAAACCCCATTCTGATTCTGATTCTGATTCTGATTCTAATGCAAATGACATCAGTCTGACACAGAAAAGTGGTGATAGCTGCTTTTTCTGAAAAAAATAAAAATGTATATTCATTTAGTTTTTAATAAAAACAAAAAATAAACCTAAAACAACTGTACCAAAGGACCAGAAATAATTATGCTGAAAATAGAAATCCAAAAAGAGATTTTTAGATTTAAGAAAATGCACATTTTGAAAAATCTCCTCATGTTTTGAGGTTGTTCCTTCAAATCATCAGGCAGCAGAGAGACAAAATCTTAATGTTGAAATGCTGAACTCTGAAAGTGGCTGCAGACTGCCATCTCAGGTCTCGAGCTAAATACAGATGACGATGACAACAGAATCTTTTTCCATATACAGTTATGTTGAAACTGTGACGATGACAGAGGGGGAGTTAGAACATTTCCAATAACAGCATCACTGTGAGTGAAAGGGTGATCCACATGATTGCCATTCATATGATGCTCTGCTGCTTTCCTTCTGTACAACTTCCTGTTTCTCCCATGTGTCATTGCCCTGAGGCTTTGTGACTCATGCTGTGATGAGCCTGTCAGTCATGCTGTGATAGCGGGAAACCAGAAGCTGTGTTGAAACAGTGTTCCCATATCCTGTGATGGTGGTGGGGACTTCTCCTATCCACACACATGATGTGTCCTCCATTGTTATACTGATAAAAGAAAAAGAAAGAAAATATTATTATCAAAGAACACTGTCTGCATCTCCGCCAACTGTATGAAACATTTAGATTAACTGGTTAACTATCTGTACACGCCCTGCTTCATGGAGTCAAAATCCACACGAACTGCTAACAAATACAAAGTCCTGCTAGTGCAAGGGAAGTTATCTTATATAGAATCAAACACAAAGCGAAACAATGGTCTGTTTTGCAAACGTAAATATAATTTTTGGAAAGTGTTCTTGCCAAACAGTAACAATGAAAAATTCCCTTAATGATAAGGGATTCCAGGAAAGGTGAATATACCACCACGCCCGTGTGCTGGCCTTGTTGCTCTGTGCTTGTTGTCCAAAAACTGCTAAAACACAGCCAGTGTGGCTCACTGGAACATTCCTTTATTACCATGAACACGCACACTGGAATTTAGTTTAACTCAGTCACACACAAACCACAAAGCTTCGAAGACCATGTTAATCTGCCACTAAAAACAGCCTCCAGTAATGGCCTACTGTTTGATTAGTCACACTGAGCCCTTTTACAGTCTAACTGTAAATTTGAGCTGTTGTCAAAGATGGAAGCTTAAGAAGGAATGGGTGGACACAGGTGCCACAGACAGCAGAAGTGATAGAAGGTCATCACTTTTGTATTAATGTGAGATTGAAAAAGGGGGGTGGCAGCAGCCATTTTGACATGAGGAGGTAAGGTAAGGTACACACAAAATGAGTTATGGTTTCGTTCTGTTGAGTGTGTCAAAGCTCTCTCAGTGAGCCACTTCAACTTGTAGAGGCAGTACGCACTAGTAGAGGCAAGCAAACAACTGTTAGCTGGATCTGGATCTGTCAATCATAGCACCCAGGCCTGATGGAGGGCTGGGTTACAAATAAATAAGTAAAAATCAGCCACTATACACTTGTTATGTAGGTGGAAATGTCTTTTGTAACAGGCTGTAAACATTAACGTTATCACTAATTTTTTTTAGATGGGCATAGACAGGTTAAGAGCCGCTCTTCCATAATGTAGCAAGCACAACATCCCAGGTTCAATCTCAGGAACGGACTCAAAAGTCCACATTATCAAACACGAACGTTCAACAAGCTTTAACCTGCATTGGTTCCGTTTATATTTCTCTCTCTGATCGTGTGTCACCAGAGTTCAAATGAGTTGAGCTCTCAGCTAACGGCACTGAACATGTTTGCAGTAAATATACCTCAGGCTGCTCACTTCCTGTGCTGACATGTTTTCTCCTGCTGGGAGTGTCTCTAAACACACTGCGCTAACAATTTAGCCTAGTACTATGAAGCCAGGATGCTTTCAGAAAAACAACTCTTGTAACGACTTCACTTTAACAATAACCAAAGAGCAAAAAGAAAAAAAAAACACATCCATGGAAACTGACTGGCAGAAACCAAAAGAATTCCTCTTCATCCCCCCATAACCACATCCTAATCCCTGGCAGACGGGAGCCTGAGGACGAGGCCCGTCTGCTGTTTATCTCTAAGAAATCTTGTGACCACACCTCTAATCTTTACCTCTGCATGTGCTTGTTGTGTGTGTTTAATGGCCTGTCTATTGTCATTCAGGTGCGAGCATAGGTGTGGCTCTTTTTCAGAATTACAGTCATTGACATTAGTAAACACAGGAAGCAAATCCAAGAGTAGGGCAGGAATGGCATTATTCTCTGGTTTTACCTGGCAACAGCCACTGTGAATATGGTGCTAAAACTATGTCAATGTTTGGTACAAAACCTTCCCCAAATGTTTTTTCAGTAACTGACACACCTCTGTGCCTTTCAGCTAAGCTGTTCCACTGCAAACAGAAGCAAGAGCCTGGCTTATCAGCAGCTGTAAAACTGCCTCACTCTCTGCAGACAGCAGAGGCTTGCTAAACAGGAACAACTGGCTCGCAAGACAATAATATCACATGTGCTTTTATTTCTTTATCATTCACTTTAAAGTGTCAGAAAGCACAAACAATACCAGCAGTCAAGTCATGCATATTAATGTTTTCTTATTCACAAAATCCTTCCAGCTCCTGTATGTTTCACTTCTCCATAACTGCAAACAGCATGCAGTTAGCATTTAGCTAAAGAGCCAAACATTTTCAAGAGCCAGTCTGGCCCAGAAACTCAACTCAACTCCATTTGTAAATGTTTGCCAACAAGTTTATCCAGGTGACAATCCCAGTTTTGTGTTTCCAGCTGCCTTGAAAGAACAGATAATTATGCAGAACAGGTTTTACGTAGCTTGTTGTTTGTTTCTGTTTGTTATTGTTTCCATTTTCACTGTCTTTCTGCGTGGTTTGCAAATTGAAGTAAACCATTTGTAAACACTGGTGTATTTAAAGCTTTAACTAAGGCAGGAAGAGCGACTACAAAACAAACAGTTTAATCCACAGTTAGTTTATCGCGTATATCTGGCTAATAACCTGCTACCAAACACCCAGCAGACAGACAGGAACATGTTTGAGTCTGAATTCCCGGAATACAGACTACAGACGACCCACTTGTCTGATCTTGTTTGTTGGAGACTTTGCTTTCAGTTTGATTCCTTGTTTTTTATGGAAGTCCTAATCAAAATGGCTTCAGAAGAAAATCACAAAGGAAAATTTGTAAAAAGAGTTGACAGTGATTCTCTAAATCAGGGGTGTCCAAATCCAGGCCTCAGGGGCCGGTGTCCTGCAGGTTTTAGATGTGTCCTTGATCCAACACAGCAGATTTAAATGGCTAAACGACCTCCTCAACATGTCTTGAAGTTCTCCAGAGGCCTGGTAATGACCTAATCATTTGATTCAGGTGTGGTGACCCAGGGTGAGATCTAAAACCTGCAGGGCACCGACCCTCGAGGCCTGGAGTTGGACACCCCTGCTCTAATGGTCAGCATTATTAGAGACCCTTTCACATTAGAGGCCTGTTTGATTCAATGTTCAAATCAAACTTCGTTGTTTAAAAGGGCGTGATGACATCACAGTTGGGGTGGCACACAACTTAAATCTTTTCAGCCTCTTTAAGAGGAGATTGTTGTTCCTCTTCTTGTTTAGGTTGATTTCGTTCAGTTTTATTGTTTTGTTTTTGGTTTCACTATTGCTATTAAAAATATTCCAAAGATATTGTTAAACAAAATATGTAGCTTGCTTAGTGCAGTTGATATTTGCACACAAGAAGTTAATTCTGAAATTAAACTTCTTTGGATATAATAAAACATTAATATGAAAAAGAATATAAAAAAGAAGAAAAAACAACCTAAATGGCAATCCTTGTACCTTTGCCTTCTCTAAATCATGCACAAAGCAAAAAATTGCAAATATCTTTTCCAAAACAATAAATTAACGATATTTTTCTCGTATTATTTCACACATGCATGACAGACAGACCAAATTTTGTAAAGTGAGTGAGTCGCTGTGCTGGCCTGACACAGTGCACTGAGAGCTCAGACCTATAAGTGAAAGCAACATAGTCAGCAGGCTGGACTTCACCGTCTTTAAATAACATGGCGTTACTCCACCAACAAGCTGTGACTTGCAGTGACAGGCAGCCGGGAAGCCTGAACCAGTCGCTGCCCACTGTTGAAATAGGAAAGTTATTATAAAGGTCTATATGGTTTCACTTTTCTTTCCTGTCAGACATGTTAAATGAGGTCGTTTTCTGTTAATGGTTATACTAATGCATGTGAATTTGTCGCCATCTAGTGGGCAGCAGTGTATATGAATAACATTCAATTGGGCAGACTTTCTTCTTCATGCATGAACAAAATGAACCCAAGTTTACAAAGCAAGAGCACCAAATTAGAGTGTTGTGTTCCTATGCTTTCATGATAGTGTATAAAAAACAGTCCCAGTTTCAACCTTGTGATTTTCAATGCTTAATTTTATTGGCTTTGACTGAAAGGATACAAGAGGCAGCATAGCAAGAGCAAGAGATAGACAGTTACTGTAAAAAAAACAAAAAAAAAAGAGCAACAATCCCATTTTCCTTTCTTATACACGTATAGTACATATACATTATTTAATTGGTGTTTTATGCAGCAGGCCATATTAAAAGAACTGTGACTATACGGTATTGGGCCACAATGTTAAAAAACTTACTGGTGATTAACACTGGCTGTTTTGTCACAATGCCATTTTCTGGTGGGTAACCTGGGTTCCCAGCACTCATGTGGTTCTTATGTTGAGACATAAGGTAATATGTCTATAGGTAATAAAAAAAACGATATTTGACAAATGTAAAGGTTGGTGCAATGATAGAGATAGTTCTGTTTTCTGATCTTTAGGCTGAATAAGGATTTCTCTGAAGTCAAAGTGGACATGCGTTGATATATTTTGCAGGAATATATTTATCTGTGTTAGTCAGTCTATTTGCTGGGAAAAGCTCACTAAAAATGATATGAATAAAAACTATAATTGCAGTAAAACCCTGTTATTAAGTAAAAATAATATGCAGCACCAAGTATATTTTAAACCAGACAATATCGACTGGATTGTGTTTTCAATTCATGAAGTGGTAACTGGATCTGAAATATCATTTGGCATGCAACAGCAAAATGATCCCTGTCATCATACACTTCCTCTACACAACATCCACTTACAAGTTTCTTCTACAAACTTGTAAGTGGATGTAATAGTACTTTATTTTGAGTGTGCATCAAGACAAAGTAACAGTACTTAATTTCTTTGGAATTTAAAGATACTTTTGGACATAACCAACTGTGAACTTTTATGTTCGGATACCAATACTCTTAATTAGTTATATATGTTTCAGTTACTATAAAGAAGTATATTCCTCAGTGACAGCATGATCATGTTCCAACACATCATCAAATCTATTGTTTATGCAGCTGCTGACTGTGGTTTACACCATTTGAATCTTTTGTTTTCTTTGACAAACAGAGTAAGAAAATCACTTGAAGGAGTGCTCGCTACAATAATCATGGAAAAGAAAAGCAGCAGATACACAGCTCCCCCTGGAAGTTTTCTAAGACACATATGCAGAGCTTCCCACCACCTACAAAATGCTTACATGTGAATAATAACTATGCTGGGAATTTATTGTCACATGATCAGTGACAAACCAGCTTTGATCATTCACACCCATTCACATAAGCACTTTTTTCTATGTAAGTGCTTTTTATCTAACATTCACACATGCATATGAAGAGAGCGTCATGTAGAATCAGCCAGTGATAGATGTCTCTGATGTCTTCGTGCTCTGTTTTGGGTAAAACACAACAAAAGTTTCTAGCATATCAATACGGAGCCACCAAACCAGGGTGAACAATGCTTTTCTGCAAGGGGTCAAACTGACTCAGGATCAGTGGAAATGCAGTAAGTGGAACAAATCAGAAATTACTGTTTGTTTATTATTTTAAAAAGCTCCATTTTTGTTTCAATTTTGTTCTATCCAGAAATGTAGATTCTGTAACAGTAAGGTAAGAGTGCCAGCTCCTTGTGGGTTAATTAAGAAGCACTACTTCTTGTCAGAAGTTAGGTGATGTTAATATTAATTCTAGAAATGTTACAATGGGGGAAGTGATGACAATTAGTGTAATTCACTATTGGACAATTCAGTTTAAAAAATGAGATGTAGTTAAACTTACCAAACAGGAGCAGGAGACCTGAAGCTTTTCCAGGACTACTGGCTCTCCACCACCTGTTATTCAAACACAGGCTGTTAAAGCGCCTCTAAAAACAACAACCGACTGCCAACTACCACATTTTGAAAACAAGGGGCAGCATTTTCACAGTGACAATGTTGCTACTGCTATCCTGTTTTTACTTTTGATGTTGGTTTTTAGCCCTCAGTTAATCAAGAAACTTTACGTTTTTCCAAGGTCAATACTGGACATACAAATATCTTTTTAATATGTAGCCTGGTTTTATACAACATGAAAGCACAGCCCTCCTGATATGGCACAACATCTCATTAACACACCTTGTTTCTCTGCATTATTTTGATAGCTTTAAGCTAATTTTGGATAATCCTGAACTACTATTAAAACACTATTCATGAAAAGTGTTCTCAGAAAACGTGTCAAGGAAAGAACATTTCATTCCTTAGTAGTAATGCTGACATCACCACACTGAGAGCAACGGTGCCCAACACTGGGCCAGCCCAGAATCTATTTGACACCTCGGCTAAATTTGCAAACGTGGAGTGATTATTAAGACCCTCTAGTGAAAAAGAGAACATTGATGTTATCTCTGACCTTGATGATTACTTGTGCTTGTCCAGATAACCCTTCTCCCTCCATATCTGCTGCCTGTACTGTCAGAGTGTACTGTGGATATTTCTGTTGGAGGAGAAATATAACAAGTTCAGCTCATCAACAAGAAGGATAAAACATTCTATCATCAGTTTGTATCCAAAGGAGACTCTGATGAGATACTTCTCATTTTAAAGTTCAGTGGAATATGCTAACTAATTTCTGTTTACATAGAACTGACAGTGTCATGTGACAACATCCCAGCAGAACAAAGTTTTCAAGTTGATTATTAGCAACAGGAATATATGGAATCAAGCTTTTTTCTGAAACCAGAAAGAGCTGACAGACACTTTGGTGCATTTTAATGTTGCAGATTCATCTAATGCTATAATGCTGTCCACCCTATGAAGCTAACCACTAACTGTGTGGTAGCATAGGCAGAATGAGAGCCAGGGAGTTTATTTTCCAGTTGCACTCAGAAGAGACAGTTTTATTTCATTTTTGAACATATATCTTTGAGACAGCACCAGATCATATTTAACTTTGTCTACACTGACACACCTGTGTTAGCCTACTTGAATTAGTGGACATAAGTGGACAGATATCAGCTAAACAAGTAAAATGGAATGAAGTCGTGATCTTTTCCTGCTTCTTTGATAGAATTTGCTGTTTGTTAAAGCTGTTTTTAATTTGTAAAAAAGTGGTACAGGGGAAAAGAAAAGTTAAAACTGCCAACTTAATAGTTGTTCTTTTTTTAAAAAATCCCTTGTATGCCAGTCATAAGTGGGTCCCCTTATCCCGAGCTGGCCAGTGTGCTTACTGTCACTGAATGCGTTAGAAGGCTAACCTCTCTGTCTAGTCCAGTGCCAGCAACACTGATGGCTCCAGTAACTGAGTTGATTTCAAACATGTTGTCACTGGGCAGCTGCGGGTCCTGCCTCAGAATACGGTAACGGATATCTGAGTTGGCATTATCTGGTTCATCAGAATCTGTAGCCTCGACCTTAATCACTTCAGAACCTGGAGAGAAAGAATTCAGAAGTAGGAATTAAGAACAGTCATTCAGGCTTTGTTGATCTTTTATTTATAGTAGGGTTACAATGTACACATCCCACTTTACTGGATCTAATTACAAATAAAGTACCTTGTAACTATTAGCAACAGATTCCTTTTTCTCCTGTAAAAGTGAAACAAGCACACATGACAAGCAAACTTAAATTAAAAACACTATCAGTACCTTGTGCTGAGTTTTCAGCAACTTGTCCCTCAAAGGTGTTTTGAGAGAAGACAGGTTTGTTGTCATTCTGGTCGATGACTTTAACTGTAACACTCATGACCTCCTGGTGATCTCCACTTTCTGCCACGACATGCACTTGTAGCTGCCAATATACAATCACATTAAAATTATGTTGTTCAAAAAAGAATAAACAATGTACATTAATGCTTTTATTCAAAATAATAGGAACATTTTGGGACAGAGAGAAGGAAAGACATGCAGCAAAGGGCTGCGGGTCATACTCAAACCCACACCTGTTGCTGCTGCTGTGGTAAATAAAATAAAAAAATCTGTCAGCGCAACTCTTTGGGCTTAAATTATTAGAAAGACTTCTGACAGCTCATTGCTCAGACTATGTTTTAATTATAAAACAAAAGGTTATAATCTATTTTCTTACAAAGAACTACCATAAATATCTTTGGTAGATAGTGAAACATCCACACTTTCCTGTTGTCTTTCTGTGACTTAATACTTTGATGCAGTATAAATGGGAGAGAAGCTATAAAACTTGTAAAACGTGTTCATCTGGACGTAACATTTAAGTGGAAGAAATATTGGCCATGAGTACCATCCAGAGAGAGTTGGGGAATAGCTGCAACCACAGCATTGTAAGATGTTGAAAGAGGACCAGGGAGGACGCTGGTTTGAGCAGGAGTCAAGGAGCCTGTTTATGTGAACCACCTCTGAACTGAAGAGGGGGCCCAAGGTTTACATCTCTCACTGCAAATTCATTTGTATTTTAATTTAGATTCAAATAGCATTTACATTCTGAAGCAGTAACCTTATTTTATTCTTATGTTAATACATCAATAGATTCAGTTACTTTTGCATAAAAACACTGCTTTCAAGTGGTCCAAGAGTACATTTCAGAGCTTGTACTTTTTCACTTTCACTTAAGTAAAGAGGTTGATTCAGTACTTTTACCTTTACTGGAGTATTTTTTAACACAAGAAAAATGTCACTTTACCTTATAATGGGCTACTTCCTCTCTGTCGACTGGCTGTGTGACATACAGACTGCCAGTGTCTCTATTCATGGTGAAAAGGGCAACAGGAGGCTGATCAGCTCCTGGACCAGTGATGCTGTAATGTAAATTCTGCTTTTGATGTTCATCAGACCGTATCTAAACAAAACACACCAGGATTAGGTTAAACCACTCTCACTGACTACAGTTATAATATTGCACAACAACTATTGTAAAGCAGTTGTGCAGAGGTCTTTAGCTGTGTTTTTTTTAAACATTTATTATTAGCCCATTATTAGTTTTAACAAATTTTATGTAATACACCATGGACATAAAAAAAAATGCATAATGATAAAACAGAAAACAAAACAAACCATAACAGAAGGTAAGGGCAGATATACAAATCAAGTTAGCACTTCAAGCCGTTAAGTCCACAGTGTATACGTTACAGTTCACCAAAAAGCTGTAGAATTTTGACCATATGGACCAAAACTGTTTATTTCTTAATGCATAAGTTATTTCCTCCATAGATAGTATAGATGTCAGTCCATTAAACCACTGAGATAGTCCACATATTTTTTGATTTTTCCAACACATAGCAACACAGCGCTTGGCTTCCAAAAGTCGATCATTAACAGAGCTCTATTGTTTGCAGCAAGTACAAAATTATTTGTGTATATATTTAAAATACATATGTTGGGATCGAGTGGAATCACATCACCAATGATTGGACTTAACAGATTTATTACCTTTTCCCAAAAAACTTTCACATGTGGACATTCCCATATACAGTGAAATAAAGAACTCCTATCCACTCCACACTTAATAACAGGTGTCTGGGATGTTTGGGTTAAAATGATGCATTTTTGATGGAGTAATATATTGTCTTGTTAACCATTTATGTTGAAGTAGTTTAGATTAATTGTCTGACTCTGGGCCAAGAAGCATGATTTATACCAATCGTCATCTGATCCATTTGCAAATCATTCCTCCAAGCCTCTAAAAGAGACTGCGTTGATTCTTTGGAATTTTCCATAAATAATTTGTACGATGCAGAAACTCGGCCTCTCTCATTTAGATGCTTTATAACTGTGTTCACTAGAGAGGAGTAGGTGGGGATTTCAAAGCTGTTACCTTGTGTGGTTAAGATAACATTTCTTAATTGAAGAAATTTAAAAAGAAATGTTTGACAGGAATAGAAAATGTACTTCTAAGCTGTTCAAAAGCCATAAGAGTATTATTCCTAAACATATCAGACACTTTTCTTATATCTTGATCGAACCAAAGTTTAAAGCCTTCATCTGCCCTACCAGGAGGAAAGCTGTTATTTCCAAATATTGGAGTGAACCTAGAAAGTTGTGACGTTTCTCCCAAGTAGTTATGTGATTCATACCAGATCATTACAGTGTTTTTAAAAAAAGGGTTCTTAGTTTGCTTAAGTAGTGCTTTCCTGTTGGCTGAGAAAAGATATAAGTTAGGGGGAATTTTGATTTCTGTAGACTGCATAGAAACTCACACTGGAGTCTGCTCATTAGCAAAATAAAACATTGCCACTCTGATTTGAGCAGAAGTACCACGTTAAATTAGGAAGTTGTAAACCCCCTCTTTCATAAGGAAGGTATAGTAAGGAGATTCTGAGCCTTGGTCTTTTGCCATTTCAGATAAAGTTTCGGAATAGTTTTTGCAAATCTTAAAAGAAAGATTTTGGTCGAGAGAGAGATATTGATTGAAAAAGGTAAAGATATTTGGGCAAAATTTACATTTTTAGTATATTAATACGATCAATTAAAGATATAGGTAATTTCGTCCATCTATTTAGGAGTGTAGTAACTGACGTCGTTAAGGAATTATAATTGGATGCAAGAATATTTTCAATTGAGGGAATTAATTTCACACCTAGATAAGTAAACCCATGTTCAGATTACAGAAAGGGAGGATTTTGCAGAAACTGGAGGATTTTGTCGTTCATTTTTATTCAAAAATAATATTTCAGACTTTTTATTTTGTAACCAGAAAATGTACTAAATGTATTAATGAGACTTAATATGGATGGTATTGATTTGTTTAAATTGGTGCAGAACAGGATCATATCATTTGCATATAGGGCAATACGGTGGTCAACATTGCCTACTTTAATTCCTGATATGTTTTTATGATTCCAAATTGCCATTGCAAGAGACACAATTGCCAAGGTGAACAAGAGAGGTGACAAAGGGCACCTTGTGTAGTACCGCGATAGAGTCTGAATGGTGCGGGAAAAAGACCGTTAGTTAAAATCTCTTCTTGAGGATTGGAGTATATCAATTGAATCCATTTAAAAAATCTGTTTCCAATACCAAACTTTCTCAAAACTTCAAATAAAAATGGCCATTCAATCCTGTCAAAGGCTTTTTCATCATCCATTGAGATTAATGCATTGTCTCTGGTCTATTTTTTCTCATAAATGATCTTCATGACCCTCCGTATATTGTGAAACCTCTGCCTCCCCTGGATAAAGCCATTCTGGTCTGAGTGAATCATATTAGGCAAGAGTGTCTCTAGTCTCGTAGCTAATAATTTGCAGAGTATCTTTTAATCAACAGTGAAATTGGTCTATAAGAACTGCAATTAATTGCTGGCTTTCAATAAAAGGTTTCAGTAAAAGTGTAATTGTTGCAATAAGGGCTGGATCAAACTGTCTTTAAATATTTTTATTGGTATCAGTATTGAAAAAAAATCATTTTTTTTATTAAAATGAATTTGAATGCTCAGTTTTGTATAGCTGTTTATAAAAAGTGCAAAAAGAGTCATATATGTTTAGGATCAGCTGTGATCTGTCCTTCATCTGTAGTTACAGAATTTATTGTTCGTCTGTTAAATACGCCAAGCCAGTATTTTACTTGCTTTTTCATCCTGTTCATAATATGACTGTTTCAGTCTTATTAAACTGTTAGTAGCTTTATTTAATGACAAAATATTGAATTTAGCTCTGAGTTTATTTAACTCTAGAATTGGAGCATTAGATTTGGATATAAATATCTCTTCCTCAATGTCTTTTATCTTTTTCTCCAGATGGACCAATTCCATCCTAGATGCTTTTTGTTTAAAACTTGTATAAAGGATCATTTGCCCTCTCAGGAAAGCCTCCCATTTTAAAGTAGCCGTGGTTTGAGTTGTATTATAAGCAAAGTAATAATCTATTTGCTTTCCAATGTGTTCCAAGAATTCTGGATCTTTCAACCAGAAAGATTGCAGTCGCCATCTAGTGGTAAATAATGGTAAGCTGGGTAAATATAGTTGAAATGAAACGGTGGAGTGATCTGATATGACAATACTATCACACCAGGATTTAGTTACCATGGATACCAAGGATGCAGAAAGTAAGAAATAGTCAATTCTGAAAAAGGTCCCATGAGTGCTAGAGTAGCAAGAGAAAGTAATCTTATCTGGGTGCATGTTTCTCCAAACATCAACTAAATTGAATTCAGTCATAAATTGTAGCATTTCCTTTCTAGACTGCTTATGAGCTGAATTGACTCCACTTGATTTATCAACACTTGAATAAAGTGTGCCATTAAAATCTCCCCCAATAATGAGATATCCTGGAAATAACAAAACAGATTTCTAAAAAAAGATGGGTTGTCATTATTGCATTCATATGTATCAAGTTCAATTTGTGAGGCTATCTCACATTGGACAATAAAATATCTGCCATAACAATCACTAATAATGTTAACAAGGTTAAATGGTACTGAGTTATGAATTAGTGTAATTACACCTCTGGATCGAGAATTATATGAAGCATGAATAATGTGACTCGACAAATTAAAGCTGAAGTAATATTTTTACAAGCGACCCACCTAACTGCTGATGACACTATTAGAGTAAGGAGACAATGGCCGGATTCGATTCATAACTTGTTTCAGTTTAACCAGTTAATTCAACCTTCGAGTAAACCAATACGGAGACATCCTGTGCAGAAACAAAAGTCTGAAGTTAATTTCAGAATCAGATTCTCTTACTTCAATTAACTTAATAGGATAGGGTCCTCTGTTGTTCTCAGTGAAGAAAATAGCTGGAAAAACACGTGCAGTGTTGGGTTCCACGTTGCTGCTGCTGTCAGGAGCATTACTGCTGCCATCTGTCACCGTGAGGATGACTTTGGTTTGTCCAGTTAACCCTTCTCCTGCCATATCTGCTGCTTGTACTGTCAGAGTGTACTGTGGATATTTCTGGTAAGATACAGACATCAGCTCATCAACAGGAAGGTAGAAACACTGACATCGGTTTTACAGACTGTAACACAGCCTTCAGACGGACTAAAGCTCTTCATCTATGAAGGCCGATTCTGCTGAAAAGCTGAAGTTTAACTTGTTTAATATTTTACTTATGACAAACATGATGCTGTTGAGAGGCGTGGCCAAACTTAATAAAATAAAGTATTCCTTGACCATTTGGCACAAGGCTGTTTGTTGTTGCTCTGTGAAGTCAGTCGCAAAGAGTTTTACGATGCTGCATCAAAAACAGATTGCTCTGATCTCCCATAGTTTGCATGGAAGACACAGATTTATCTGACAAACTATTTGCCAAGTAGGAATTGTGTGTCCAGAGGCATGACACAAACCAGAAATGTAGACTGATAAACTATAACTATACTTCAGAGGCTGTGTCAAATTTGAGTTTCATTATCAAAACCCCACAATGTTTTTTTGCAGCACCCTCTTTGTGACTGATTTCTAGCAGTGACAGGCAGACTGCTGATCCGGATTCATTATAAAATGTTTTTTCAGCCCTTAGGTGTAAAAGGACACTTGTGTTTTAAATGTGTTTAACAAGTCTTACCTCTCTGTCTAATCCGCTACCAGTGATTCTGATGCTTCCAGTAATTGGGTTGATTTCAAACATGTTGTCAGTGGGCAGCGGTGGGTCCTG